ATGCCCGCCAGCGACGTACTTGCCCCCCACTTGCCCCCCCCCGCGCGGGGCCGAATTGCCATCGCTGACCACCTCTCCGCCGGCGCAGCGAGTGAAGGAGGTCCTGGAAACATTTAAGGTGGCTGCCAGCCTGGGTCCCGAATCGCTGGGCGCTTACGGTAGCTCAGAGCTCGTCCTCCTTCATGTCACCACCAGCCACCACCACTGTGCTCACTGTGGCTCGTTTGTTGACAGTGATCTCGATGTGCCGCACCGCGTCGGACATCCTCGCCGTCGAACTCCTCCAGAAGGAGGCCGGTACCGCCGCCTCGCTTGCCACACACCACCGCACACACCGCACACGCGCACACACGGGAGGGCTGACATGTTTGCTTTGGCTTGGCCCAAAAGGGAACAAGCACCCGCAGAGGGTGGTGCCGCTGTTCGAGACGGTGGACGATCTCCGCAACTCGGCGCCCGTCATGCGTCGGCTGTTCTCCAACGACTGGTACCGGACCCACATCAAGGGCCGCCAGGAGATCATGATCGGCTACTCCGACTCAGCCAAGGACGCCGGTCGCCTCACCTCTGGTACGCACCGTTGTTGTGACTGTTGACTCATTTACTTGACTTTGACTTTGACTCGACTCGACTTGACTTTTTGGTTGGTTGGTATGATTGGTATGCAGCGTGGGAGCTGTACAAGGCCCAGGAGGCCCTGCTCAAGCTATGCGAGGAATTCGGGGTGAAGCTCACCCTCTTCCACGGCCGCGGCGGCACGGTCGGTCGCGGCGGCGGCCCGTCGTACCTCGCCATCCAGTCCCAGCCGCCGGGCACCCTGGCCGGCCGCCTGCGTGTGACCGAGCAGGGCGAGATGATCCAGTCCCAGTTCGGCCTGCCCGGCATCGCCTACCGCACGCTCGAGGTCTACGTCACGGCCACGCTCAAGACCCGCTTCCTCCCGCCCGTCAGGCCCACCCCGCGCTGGTGCGAAATCATGGACCGCCTCTCCGCCACCGCCTGCGACGCCTATCGCGCCGTACGATCGTCACCCGCCACTCAACAACCATGTCCATTACCTAATCGCGCGCGTGTGTCGTGTGTGTCGTGTGTCGTGTCGTGTGTCGTGATAACAGTTGATTCGGGGCAACCCGCGGTTCGTGGAGTACTTCCGGGCGGCGACGCCGTCGGGCGAGCTGTCGTACCTGAACATCGGGAGCCGGCCGGCCAAGCGGAACGTGCAGGGCGGCATCGAGTCGCTGCGGGCCATCCCGTGGATCTTCGCCTGGACCCAGACCCGCCTGCTGCTGCCCGCGTGGCTGGGCGTCGGCGAGGCCCTCGAGCTGGCGGCCCAGGAGGGCCTGGGCGAGGAGCTCAAGACCATGTACGCCGAGTGGCCCTTCTTCCAGTCCACCGTCGATCTCGTCGAGATGGTCCTCTCGTACGTCTTTCTCTTTTCTTGTTCTTCTTCGTTGCGTCCTGTCACTGACTGTGTGTGTCGTGTGTCGTGTGTGTCGTGTGTGTCGTGTGTGTCGTGTGTGTCGTGCGTCGTGCGTCGTGCGTCGTGTGCGGATATTTCTTGAATTTGAAGGAAGGGAGACCCGGAGATTGCGGCGCGGTACAACGAAGTGTTGGTGCCGCCGGAGCTGCAGGAGATGGGCCACCAGCTGGTCCAGAAGTTCAACTTCACCGCCACCCACATCCTCTCCGTACCGCCCGCTACTTTCTACTCTCTACCGTTCCTTGCATACCACTCACTCACTCACGCACTCGCCCACGCGGCTTTGTGTGTGTCGTGGTCGCGCGTTCGTTCGACCGCACCACCAGTTGACCGGCCACAAGGTGCTGCAGGAGTCCAATCCCCTTCTGCTCGAGTCGATCAACCTGCGTCGCGGCTTTGTCGATCCCATCAACTTGATCCAGGTACCCAATTCTTCTTCTTCTTCTTCTTCTTCTTCTTCTGTTTCCAGCGTTGAGTAACGCGTGTGTTGTGTGTGTTGCACCAACAGGTGGAGATCCTGCGCCGAATGCGTGAGGGCAAGGACGGGCAGGTGGACGAGGTCCTGCTCGACGCCTTCATCATCACCATCAACGGTATCGCTGCGGGCATGAGGAACACCGGCTAAACCCACCCTTCGCCCACACTTGTTAACGCGGTTGGGTTGGAATCTCCCAGTTATTATGACTCGGATTTTCCTTGTCAGGAATTTTGCCTGGTGGATTCCTGTTTTTATATACATTCTGTGCTGTTTTATTCATACTACCTTCCCTGGCCAATCATACATCATTGGGGGGCTGTTGTTGTTGTTGTTGGCAATTGTTCGCGCTCTTCTCTCACCTTCCACATCGAACTGGCATCATGATGATGGTGACTCGAGTCGACGCCTCTCAGAGGCCGGCGCCTTCCTCTTCGTCCATGGCGAACCCGCCGATCCTGGCCTCGTTCGACGAGAAGAACTGGCGGAAGCTCGTGAAGAACCCTGCCATTGGGGGGGGGAGGAGTAGAGTAAGCAAACGTGGCCGTGCGTGGCGCGTGTGCGGTGCGGTGCGAGGCCGTACCTTCGGATGGGAGCTTCTTCCAAAATTGATAGCAGTAGTTGAGGATGAACAGCTGTGGCCAACGAAGAGAGAGCAACGTGAGCGACAACAAATCGATTCGTGTGTGTGTGTGCGTGTGTGCGTGTGTGTGTGCGTGTGTGCGTGTGTGTGTGCGTGTGCACGCGTGTGCGTGTGTGTGTGCGTGTGTGCGTGTGTGCGTGTGTGCGTGTGTGCGTGTGTGCGTGCGGCGAGACAGGGAGAGAATGAGACGGTACCTCGCCGACCAGAAAGAGGAATCCGATGACAAGGATGCTGCCCTGAATGGTGTGGTTGAGCAGCTCGAGCAGCATGAACACCACCATCAGCATCACGTTGAGGCACACCAACGTCATGAACTGTGTGTGTTGTGTGTTGTGTGTGCGTTGTGTGTGTGTGTGTGTGTGTGTGGCGTTCGAATTAATCAAGCGTTAGGCTGTGGGGAGGAATGATCGCGTGTGTAGGAAGCACGAGGGCATACGGCGAGGGTGAGGCGGGCGCTGTAGGCAAAGGCGCCCCACAGACCGACAGCTGCCACGCCCAGGTTGGGAAAGATCATCCACTTGAACGTGGGCAGCAGGATGTAGACCAGGCACATCATCTGCACCATCACGACACGCAACACGCAACAAGCGACACGCACACAGCACGAGTAGGATGTCGCACGTGCAGTAGTGGTAAGGGGACGCTCAGAGGTGTAGACCGAGATGGATGGATCGATGGATGGATGAAAAGCGTAGATGGATTGGTGGGGACGCGCGTACGAGATGGACGAGGGCGATAATCTTGATTGTGGCGGCCATGGTACGGATCTCGATAAAGGCGCCGTATGGAGAAGGTTCGACGACCTGGTGCGTATCGAGGTCGATTCGCGGCATGGGAGCTGCGTAGCGCGCCTCCGAGCCATCCATCGAGTAAGAAGAGGAAGCTGCAGATGATGTGGTGCTCACAGCATCGTTGCTTGTTGTAGTACTGGCACCGCCAGCCCTTCCAATCGACATCGCTGACTTGGCAGGTACGGCCAGCGCTGAGGTCAGCTTCATATCGCCATTGCGAATCGAGTAGGAGGGCTGAGGCTGCTGCTTCTTGTCCTGCTCATCTCCGTTCTGCGATGCTCGTCCCTTCTGGCGGTTCTCTTTGAGTAAAATCTCGACTTCAACGTCCTCTTCGGGGGTCTCCTCGACCGTGAATTCATCTTCATCCTCGCCAAACTCTGCTGCCCAGTCGATTTCAGCCGGCTGCGCCTTCACCGCGCCGAGCTTCATGTTAATGGGACGCACTGAGGATCGATCACCTGATGTGCGGACGAAAGCTCTTTGCTGTTCACCAAATTGTTTGTTCTTTGTCAGATTATTTCGAAATGTTTACGAAACAAAAACGACAAAAGAAAAAGAGCAACAATCTCGTGAATTGCAATTAGTTTCGGCCATCATAATGGATGAAGCCAGCGCGCCGCAGTGGGCCACAAGTAACGAAGCACCCGCGCCGGTGCAGGTACATCTTCGCAAAATTGATTGCGCTATTACCTAATTCTGTACTAATTCCATCAAATGAAGCCGCCCTTCGACATGGACCTCAATTTGAATGATATGCCGCCTGAGGATTCGGCGACGCGTGCCCCTAGCCCGCCCCCTACCGCACAGCCAGTGATCAAGTCGCCGTCGCAACTGAGCATTGCTTCCTATCGGGAGAGAAAGGAGCACGAAGCCGCCATGCGCGCCGCAACTGCAGCCCCCTCACCAACATCTCCCATCCATAATCAGCATGCTGCCGATAGCAGCCCTCATTCCATCCTCTACCTCCTCCAAGACCAGGGGCCTTCGTCATCACATGGAGTCATCAGCGATCAGGGGATGTTTTCGTTCCTGCCCAAGGGTCTGGATCAGACGTTCGCCTTCTCCACCTCGCACCTCCCCTCCTTCGTCAGCTCTTCTTCAGCCTCTACTTCGCAATCATTCCCTGCCACGACTTCCATTTCGACCGAGCCCACAGAATCTCGCGAGCCGATTCGAGTAGCGGGTGAGCCCTTGCATGTCGAGCAAGTGGAGAAATCAGCAGCACCAGAGGAGGCGAGATCAGTGGATGAGAGCCACGGTGTAGAGCAATCGATCGCGACACATCAGCAGCAGCAACAACAAGAGATTGCCGTCTCGCCATCATCTCCACCCCTTCCACTCGCGGCATCAACATCTCAGCCCACCGAACCGGCCAAGGTGGCCGCACCAGTGGAGCGAAAGGACGAGTCACGCGCGGATGCCGAGGAGGGACCTCCAGCCGACGCCACCGGTCCTACTCAGGCGGAGGCCGCCAGCGCCACGGGCAACGCCCCAGAGCAGCTGGCCGAGCCATCTGAGATCGCCCAGCAGACGTCCACCGAACCATCATCACAGTCCTCTTCACAGTCACAGTCACAGACCTCTTCTTCTCCTCCTCCTCCTTCTTCTCCTTCTGCTTCCTCTTCTTCGTCCGACACGTCGGCTACCACATCATCCGCCGCTTCGACCGCCGCTTCTGCGGATCAGACCTCCACCGCGGCAGAGACCGCGCAAGCGGAGGTTCCGCCCGAGTCGGCGGCGGTCGCCAGCGCCAGCGCCGAGCCCGCTGCCGTTCCCTCATCGAAGCCCGAGCCGGTGCAGCCCGAATCTGGGTCTGCCGCTGCCGCTGACGGTGGTGAGAGCTTGGCCGCCGACGCCGACGCCGACGCCGACGCCGCTGCTGCCGCCGCGGCCTCGGGCAAGCCGCCTCGTGGGTCGGAGGTGTTCGTGGGCGGACTCGGCAAGGACGTCAACGAAGCCGACCTCTACTCGGCCTTTGCCAACGTGGGCGAAATTTTCGAGGTGCGTGTGCGTGTGCGGTGTGTGTCGTGCGCCATTCCATCGATGTCGAGGCTTGCTTATTTTTTGACCTGCCGCGTCGACAGATTCGGCTGATGAAGGACGCGACCACGGGCGAGTCGAAGGGCTACGCCTTCGTACGGTTCACGAGCCCCAAGTTTGCCAAGCTGGCCGTCCAGCAGGTCGACGGCGCGGTGCTCAAGGGCCGCAAGGTCGGAGTAGTGCACTCCAACGACAACCAGACCCTCTTTCTGGGCCACCTCGACAAGGACTGGCGGCAAGACGACCTCGATCAGCACCTCCGCGATGCCAAGATCAAGGGCGTCACCACAATCACCCTCATGAAGGTATTGCAATCGCTTCGTCGTCACCACACACACACACACACACACACACACACACAACACACACAACACACACAACACACACAACACACACACGACCTTCATGCGATCGTATACACGATCGCATGACACTAACGGTATTTCAATCGCCCAGGATACGACGAACATGGCACGAAATCGCGGCTTCGCGTTTGTCGAGTTCAGCTCGCACGAGGAGGCGGCCAAGGCCCATGCCAAGATCATGAAGCCCGGCTTCCGGCTCGCTGGTAGGGTCGCCACGTCAGTTCTTCTGTTTCTACGATTGCTCTGCTCACGTGTGTGTGTGTGTGTGTGTGTAGATGTCGACGTGAAGGTGGATTGGGCCGAACCGCTGAACGAGCCGAGTGAAGAGGTGATGTCCAAGGTCAAGTCCATCTACGTGTGCAACCTGCCGGTGGACGTCAACGACGACCTCATCCGCTCGCTTTTTGCCGAGTTTGGCGAGATCGAGCGCATCGTCCTCTCCAAAAACCTCAAGTCTGCCCGCAGGTACGCACGCAGTACTCCTGACTCTTCTTCTTCTTCCAGTTGACGCTCCCCAATTCTCCTTATAACATTTTTCTTCTTTCATCAACTCAACGCAGAGACGATTTTGCATTTGTGAACTACACCGAACGATCCGCTGCGCTGGCGGCCATCGACGCGCGGCACGGCTACAAAGTCGATGGTTGGTCCCCACCACCACCACCACCACCACCAGTGCCTCGTACACGTCACCTAAATATGTCGACTAATAACGTACGTGTGCGCACGCAGACGACCACGTGCTGGATGTCACCTTGGCCAAGCCCGTGACCGAGCAGGACAAGCAGAGGGACAAGGCGTTCGGCGCGCGGGGCGGGCGCGACGGCCAGTACCAGTACGACCGGAGCGGCCGGGGCGGTGGCATGGTCGGACGCGGCAGTGCCAGCCGAGGCGGCGGACTCGGCGGTCGTGGCGGCGGCGGCGACTTTCCAGGAATGCGAGGCGGCTATCGCGATCATCGCGGCGGCCGCGGCGGCGGCTTCGACAGCGGCTACTCGCCGGATCGCCGAGGGACCCCGCGCGTAGGCCGTGGCGGTCGCGACTGGGAAGGGCCGCCGAGCTATCCCCCGCCCCCGCCTCACGGGTCGCCCTACGGCGGCGGCAACGATGGCCGCGACTTCCGCGGAGGCCACCGCGGCGGCGGACGCTTCGGCGACTCGCGAGGACCCCGGTACGATCGACAGCCCGACCACTACGGCCGATGTACGCCCACTCCACCACTGTTTTTTTTGTTGAGAATTTGTGTGCATTCCTGACATATTTGTGGGGTTGGTACTCGGGTGCAGATGACGATGGGATGATGGGCGGCCCCTCGGGCTTCGAAGCCCCGCCGAGCGCGCCGCTGCCCTACGTGCCGCCCGGGGTATGTGTGCCACAGCACCGCAATACCAGTTCTCCTTGGAATGCGCTCTGATGCTGGAATGCGTGCTATGTATACAGGCTCCGAGAGGCGGGTACGCTGGCGCGCGAGGAGGCTACAGGGGCGGAGGCATGGTGGGCGCACCACCCCCGCTGCTTCCCCAACACCAGCCGTACGCCGCACCGCCGCCGCCGCCGCACATGGCGGGCGCCGCTCCGGACTACGACCCGGCCACTGGTCGGAAGCGGCGGTTCGGCGAGGTCGGGATGGGCGGCGCTGGCCGGGGCGGACGTCCCGGCGCCGGACCCGGATTTGCGCGGGCCACGCGACACAAGCCCGACGAGGGCCAGCCGTGGCATCCGGGCATGGAGTCCGTACCGCAGCCGCCACTTCCTCAGCCCGTGCCGCACCACGTACGCCCTCTCGTGCTGCGTGTGCGTGTTTCGTTTTAAAATTTGTGTTCATTTTTTGTCATTTCCCGGCTGTAACAGGGCGCGTGGGGCGACATGTCCGCGCAGCAGCCACACATGCCAATGGGACAGCATCCGTCGATGTCCTCGCAGCCGCACGCACAGCATCAGTACCGACCGCAGCCTGCCGGCGGCGGCTGGGGCCAACAGCCCACGGCAGCCTATGGCGCTCAGCACACGCCGCAAGCCTATCCGAGCTATCCGCAGGTACGACGCACGCACACGCACCACCGCACACGCAAAGTCTGACTGATGGTTGTCGTCAGCAGCCGTCGGCCATGGGATATCCCGCAGCCGCCGCGCAGCAGCCCTACGGATACGCGCAACAGACCGCCTACACGGCGTACCAGACGCCGCAGCCCTACGCCGCAGCGGCACAGCCAAACGTCTACGGCACGCCGATGCCGCCGCAGCAACAGCAGCACGCCGCCTATACCGCCTACCCCACGGCTCAGCCCTACGCGGCCGCGGGCCAACCCTACGTCGGCGCTGCGACGCAGCAGCAGGCCTACGCCACCGGTGCGACCGCCGCCTATCCGGGCGCGCAGCAGATGGGGAGCTACTACGGGCACACGGCGACTGTCGTCACCGCACCGCCGCCTCAGCCGTCGTCGGGCCAGCAGCCGACGCGGCAGTGATCCAGAAGAGCGATCGCGTAGGTACACTCCGCTTCTCTCTCTCTCTCTCTGCATTCATTCTACTTCGTGACACTGGCGGCGGGAGTGGGTGGGCCGCTGAGATGGCGCTCTACGTGGTGGTGGTGGTGGTGGTTTTGCTTCTACTACTGATGGTGGTGGTGCTCATCTGGATTAACCGCACGCTTCTCACCCTCTCCTCTCTTTAGACACATAACTTGCACTCTAGAAGAGTTAGATGATGATGATGATCCAAACTCTCTGAATTGATGCGAAATCGGCCAAATTACTCGGCCGCCCACTACTGGACAGAAGAGTGGAGAACACGATCACTTCCTTGCTTTATTCTATCTGTCTATCTCTTGTTTCTTCCTCCTTGTTAGACATGTTTTGTTTATTCTTCTCTAAATTGTGTGTGCATGAACTCCAAAAGGTGCACAAAATTGCCTTGGTTGATGTTGGTTGTGTGATGTGGGTACTGAAGCGTGGCGTACGCTCCCCAACAATCGCCGATTGCCTTGGATCAGCTGAACATCAACCTGCTGCGAAACTTGACATCACTAATGAGGAATTCGTGGAATGCTGACTCGCCAGAGCGTGCGCTTCGTCCAATTCCTTGGTTGGAATTTTTGGTGGCCGAACTTTTTTTTGTTTTTCCTCACGCCGAGAACAACCAGCCAACGAGGTTTTCGATCTCGTGGTCTATTTTCGATCTTTGGCCAAAGTACTCCATCTTTCTCAGACCTCAACCTTCTTGTCACACCATGGCTGCTTCCTCCGACGCTCCTTATGATGTACGCAATCGGCTCGGGGCGTGACCCTTCTTTTAATGTAACGTCGAATCTTTTAATTAATGGCGATTCCGTCTCCGGCGCGACTTCAAATCCATGATCACATCACTATAATATTATCAAATAATATATTGCATTTGTCCTGCTGTGGTCTCACTCTCTTTGCCCCTTCCCTCTCCCATGCGGTAACCGACCAATAAACTGTTTTTTAATTTTATTTTTGGAATCTCACACAATCGCGATTTTTGTTCTTCTCCATCTTTGTTCATGCTCCGGCCATGGTGGCGTGTTCTCCCTGCGCGCGGCCGTCATCGCACAGACGCAACGGTTTGCCGACGAAGTGCGCGAGGCTGCCGACTTTGTGCGCGGCGTGCTGGGCGAGGCCGAGGTGGCCCTCGTGCTCGGCAGCGGCCTGAACGGCTTCATCGACGTGCTCGAAGACCGCAAGGAGCTGCCCTACGCCGAGATTCCCCACATGCCCACCACCACCGTCAAGGGACACTTTGGTCGGTTGGCCTCGGGCAAGGTTGGCGGGCTCAAGGTCCGCTCGCGCCACCCTCTTCTCCACCATCGCCTTCCTGCTGTTGTCAAGCCGTTGTTGAGTCGTTGATGATGTGGTGATGATGTCTATGATGATGATGATGATGATGATTGTGATGGTGTTGATGATGGTTCAGATCTTCTGCTTGGCCGGCCGATCGCACGCGTACGAGGGCAAGAACATGTACCAGCTGACGTTCACGGCGCGTCTGATGCGCGCGCTCGGCTGCCAGATCCTCATCGCCACCAACGCCTCCGGCGGGTGCGGCGAGGGCATGGTGCCCGGCTGCCTGATGGTCATCACCGACCACATCAACCTGTTCCACCGCAACCCGGTCGCTGGTACGAGCGCCGCTTCATTTGGCGTTTTTTTAGTTTCTTTTTCTCAACCACCGCACACGCACGCGCACATGGCACACGCCGCAGAAACTTTTGAGGATCGCGCCCTGGGCGTGCGCCGACCGGACCTCTCCACACTCTACAGGTAAGCTTTTGTGCGTGTGCGTGTGCGTGTGTGTGTGTGTGTGTGTGTGTGTGTGCGTGTGCGTGTGTGTGTGCGTGTGTGTGCTGTCGTATGCGTGAACACACATTTCACATTTTTTGTTTTGTTATATTGATTTTTTTCCTGTGTCCCATCGCCAGCCCGCGTCTGAGGGAGAAGGCGCTGAGCACGGCCGAGAAGCTCAAACTCAAGCTGTTCCAGGGCGTCTACGTGAGCGTGTGCGGCCCGTGCTACGAAACCCCGGCCGAGGTCCAGTCCGGCCGTGCCCTCGGTACACCTCCCCCCACGACACGACACACGACACACGCGCGCGCGTACACACACGCACGCACGCACGCACGCACACACACACACACACCATAGCTCGTGCACCGTCCTCTGCGCAACTTTTGACTGATGAACGTGTCGTGTTGCGTGTCGTGTCGTGTCGTGTCGTGTCTGTAGGCGGCAGCGCGTTCGGCATGAGCACGATTCCGGAGGTGGTTGCGGCGCGCAGCGTGGGCATGGAAGTGTTCGCCATGTCTCTCATCACCAACCTCGCCGCCG